CACCCCATATGGTACGTCAAGTCCTCCTAAAAGTGATTCCTGAGTGCAGAGCCAGGGTAAACCCTGAACACTGCCAGGTGGGCCCAAAACAAACAAAAAAGACCAGCTCCTTCTGCCTCTGAAAATGACTTCCTATTAGAAAGGGGATTCCATTTTCTCTGGAGTCTTAAACAGACTCAAAGTCTTAAGTATGATGTAATATCATGCTTTGGTTATGTGATGCTCTCTGATAACATATCCACTATACCTAAAAGCTACCTGTTAATTTCTGTCAGATTAGTTGAAACACCATTTCTTCAGAGGCAAAAACACTGGAATGCTTATCAGTATTTTGATTTATCATTGATACTAATAACGGCCCTCCCGTTGATCGTCAATTTACTCGAGTGGGCCCAGTAACGTCTCCATTGGAGACTTTGTTGTTACTGTGTCTGGCATATCGAATACTCTCGGTAGCTTGCTGGGCTCTCCGAGAGGGGCGGAGGAATAGAATTCGGGTCGGCCATGTTGGCCGCTTGTAAGGCGAACGCCCTACCGCTGTGCTATTATTATATATATTTTTTGGCTTTTAGTATTTATTATTATTATGTTTTCTTTTTTTATTAGTGAATTACAGTTATAGGCTTACAAATTTTGTGCTTGGGTTTCAGTTATACAATGATCAAGTGCCCATCCCTCCACCAGTGCCGCTGTGCTATTATTGATACTAATATTAATACTATAGTGGATTGAATTCCTAGTTCCTAAGTTCCTAACTTCATAAAAGGATGAGGGGGGGGGAACAAAAACTTAACCCTAACATATTATGTTTGCTGAGTACTTATAATGTCTTAATAAGTCTTTAATATGACACTTCTGTTTTATATGTTTAAGTATATACCATCTTGCTTAAGAATGTATGCACTGGGTCAGAGAGATAATACAGGATTTAAGATGCACACTTTGCATGTAGCTGATCTTGGTTTGATCCCCATGCTATCTGGTCCCTGAGTATTATTGCATGGCACATCCTGGAGTCCCTGAGGCACTCCTGCAGTAGCCAGCTAATCCCCATGGACCTCACAGCTCTGTATTCTCTAACCCTTGGATCGAACCTCTTGCCAGGTTGCTGAGAATTGCCAGAGGGGGCCCTTATACTTTCAAGCACTAGGGAGACCCCTCCCCCACCCTAAAATAATAGAAAGAATTCTGCAAATAGGGATATAATCTTTCTAACTTAGGTATCTTGATATTATAGTAGTATAATACCACAGACTCACAGCATTAATACACACAGTGTCACTACGTAGTTAATACACGCAGCATCACTACATACGTAGTTGCCACTAAAGTTCCTGCATCCTGCCTCTGTCTCTAGAAATCCTTGCATCTTCCCTGCCCCCACTTTGCAAACTTTGTAAAGTTTTATAGGCAGACTTTTCAAGGTCTGTGACTAGGTTTCTTTATATAACACATAACAGAAATTGTTCCGTATTTTGTCTTCCCTTTGACACTTTGATACTCTCCTTTCATTCAAATTGTGACAAACTTGGAGCCAGATTGGTGGTACAACGGGTAGGGTACTTGCTTTCCATGTGGCTGGTCCAGATTCAGTCCTCAGCAACCCATGTGTTCCCCACCAGGAGTCACCCGGAGTACAGAGCCAGGAATAAGCCCTGAGCTCTGCCCTGGTGCAACCACTCCTGAGAAAAAAATCGGCTATGAACTGCAAAATTCAATTTTAAAACAAAGTAGTGTATGTTGTGTATGTCACCTAGATTCCTTATCCACTCGCCTGTTGTTGAACTCTTGCATTTACACATATTGAACTAATGTAAATAGTGTTAGAGTGAATATAGGAATGCAAAAATCTTTTTGAATTGATATTTTGTGCTCTTGGGTTCGTAAATGGAATTCTTTTTCTGATGTGAGTTTTTATTTTTATGTATCGTTTTTTGTGAATTGGTTGTTTAGGCCACACCTGATGGTTTTCAGGGCAGAGCCAGAGATCAGAGCTCAAGCCCTAGGAGTTAAAGTATCTCCCTGGCCACAAATCTTGGTTTATAATGAATTGCTCTGGTGGGATTTGGATATATATATTTTTTTTCCATGGATATCGCAGCTGTGCTAACCATACATAAAAATTGTATTCTGGTTTCTTTATTGGCATTTGCCAGTAAATGGTGTTTTTTTTGTTTTGTTTTGTTTTTTTTGATTTTTGGGTCACACCCAACCCATCCATGCTCACAGGTTACTCCTGGCTCTGCACTCAGGAATCACTCCTGGCAGTGCTTGGGGTACCATATGGGATGCTGGGAATTGAACCCGGGTCGGCCACGTGCAAGGCAAACGCCCTACCCGCTGTGCTATTGCTCCAGCTCCTTGCCAGTAATCTTGAATTAAAAATTCTGGCTCTTTTTTTTTTTTTTAATGGCTTTCATTTGAAAAGTGGGAATGTTGCCATTGGTCTACCTACAGTTTTCAAACTTGTATTAGTACTTTTTCTCTAAATGGATTTTCTGGGGTCTTAAGATGATCAGGACATATTATTCTCAAAGAGAACAGAACCCATTTTTTAGTCATGGCTAAAAACAACTAGTCACAACTTAGTCACAGCAACTCCATCTATTTTGTTGTGAAGTCTCCGTTTATCATTAAACGGTGTAAAACAAAATCAGCAAGGGAAAAGACGTGGGGCAAAATCAGAAGGGAACAAGTTTCAAGTTTCTCAGATTACTCTCCTCGTTGACTGCACACATTTTCTCCAGCAGTGAATTCTGACGACTCTTAGGAAGTTTTGTGTATTTATTTTTGTGTCTAAGATTTTATTTCATTTGCATTTGGCTGGTTAGCATGCACTTCGCCTCAAACTTATGGCCAGTTAAAAAGCAGGGTATACCATCTAAACTGTTTTGTATGCACAAACAGCTTAGTCACAACAACTCCATCTATTTTGTTGTGAAGTCTCCTGAAATCTAGTTTTCTACATACCAATCAGTGTCTCACTTTGCAAATAGTAACAGTCTCAAGTCTGCTGTGTTAACTTTTCTGCACACTGAGTTTATTCATGATTATTTTTCTTGGTCTTTTTCAATCTTTAAATGTAAAGAATTTATTGCTTTTGATTTTAAGAAATTAACATGGAAAATAAAAAGCATAAAAGCATCAGACATCTCAAGAAGCATTATTGGGAGTTTAATTTGCTCTTTTGTAATGAATTCCTTGTCTTTATCTCATCATTATCTTTTGGGGAGTTTTTGACTTTGCCTCTAGTTTCCCTTGGGCTGGATTGTTGTGTTTGCTCTCAGCTATTTACTGTGTTCTGAGATCTTTTGTTGGGAATAGGAATTAATGCCATACTTGGGAACTGCTCTGTTCTGTGATCAAGAATTGCCAACATCAAAATGCTTAGTGAACCAAGCCAAGCATACAGGGGATCAGATTCAGGTCAGCTGCATGTAGGCCAAGCACCTACCCATGTAGTATCTCTCTCTGGCTCCCTAGTTCTCTAATATATGCAAAGCAAAACTGAGATTCCATATTTGTCAGCCCCGGAAGATGAGACTTTCTATATTGGTATTTGCTTGTAATCTTATTAATTGTAGTTCTCTATTGAGCTCTGCTGACTTATTTTCTATTTGGCTGTCTAAAATCTTGTTTTTGCCCTGTCCCAGATCACTTTAATCTCCTTTTACAAAGTCTTAACCATTTCTGTGGTTCTGACAGCCAATTCCTGTGCCATTTAAATTGTCCTTCCTTCTTACAGTTTTTGCTATTTTAGTATAGCCTCCCACTTTCGTGTTTTGTTTTTGACTTCCCAAATGGTACTCAAATGGAAGAGCACTTCCTGCAATTCTTGGCCAGTGTGCCAGCAGTGTGGCCTATCCTTGCAGAGCCTGGGACCAGTGGGCCACATATATGCTCAGAAGGCCTTCTGGTGTGGGGGTGTTTTTTTTTTTTTTTTGAACCTAGGTTGTGCCTTCATTTTTTGTCCTATCTCTTCTGCTCTCGGTGTCATTTCCTAAAAAAGAAATATAGTGTATTTTTGCTGAAAACATGTTAGAAATTTTACCTGATGACTAAAAGTAATATTTCTTTTATAAAGCTCATGAGTTATTTTTAAGCAATTCTTAGGTAAATACTAGGAAACTCGATGTCATTATCTTGAAACTTTTTTTGAGACTTCTTAAAATTTTGTGGCCAGAGAGAGGGTACAGGAGGTAAGGTACTTGTCATCATGTGACTGCTTTGGCCTGAACCTTTGTTCAAATTATTGATAACCCATATGGTCTCCTGTGCACTGCCTGGTGTGGTCCAAAAACAGTATTACAATACTATTTTAGTTGCAAATAAAATCAGGGCAATAGAATATAGTTTAAAATGTGTAATTGTGACTCCTGTTTCATATCTACTGTGTTTTTGTGTGAATGTGCCATTCTCTGTATTGTTTCTGCCTTTTCCGAATGACTTACTTTTGGGGAAAAAGTGTTGCTGGAAATTATATTGATGACATATTGCTCATTTAATTATTAACATTGTTCCATTTGGCATATCGAGTATATCACGGGTGGCTTGCCAGGCTCTGCCGTGTGGGCGAGATACTCTCAGTAGCTTGCCCGGCTCTCCGAGAGGGGCGGAGGAATCGAACTCGATTCGGCCATGTTGACTGTGTGCAAGGCAAACGCCCTACCGCTGTGCTATCACTCCAGCCAAACACAGTAACATCAAAATCTCCAGTGGAGATGTTACTGGGCCCGCTCGAGCAAATCGATGAACAACGGGAGGATCTTTACCTTTACCTTTCCATTTAGTTGGATATGAAGCCATATAGGATATGCTCTTTTAACCACATCTTCAATTTAAAAAAAGTGTATTTCTTATAGTTATTCAAATATAACTAGGGGAATGAGTAAGCTACATTATGTAAGAAACATGTAAGTTGTGTTAACTTATGATAAAAACACGTTTAAACATGAAATGCAACTTAAAATGAATTCACCTTTCTCTGTTTTTTTTTTAAGGGACCAGTTACTCTCCACAAGAAAATTCACACAACCACAGTGCTCTTCATAGTTCAAATTCACATTCTTCTAATCCAAGCAATAATCCAAGCAAAACTTCAGATGCAGTAAGTATTAAAACAGGCAGTGCTATTTTGTTTTAATTTATTGCAAAACATCAAATATTGTTAAACTTTTAAAAAAATTAAGTTATTGTAATGTATTTGAACTAATGAGCTGAGGATGGCTAATGAACTTAGACTAGTCAGAGTATACCTTCTTGATATTAATTTCCTAGGCATTTTTGTACAGTTTGCATTTTCTCTATAATGTATAATATATACATATATATAGAGAGAGGAACTACAGGGTTTAGACACAGTTCTAAATAGACACCTATACAAAGAAGTCAATACTAATAATGTATGAAATTTTTAATGTCAAAGTTTACGTGAAAATTTTATACACACATTCAGCAGAATTTACGGTATCAGTTTGTTGAATATACACCAGGTTGTAGCTTTATAGAACTAAGAAAGCATTTTTGTTTTGACAACTTTTGAACTATGATGGAGACCATGATAAGTAAACAGTGCATGTTAAAGGTGTTCTGGGAGCACTCAGAATTCCTAACATGAATGAAAACTGTATAAAGGTTTTACAAGTAATGCTACCTAGCAGATTGGGTACCACAGAGCCAATCAAAGAGATTTGTGTAGTATGCAAAGGAACTGCACCTACACTGTCCTAAAAGTGGAAAATGACATAACATGGTTGAAACAAGGACATTTTGGTAGCATGAAAGAAGAATAGTGGGAGCTAAAGTTGTAGAGATAGTGGGGGGCAGACCATAAAGTTACTTCTCATGACAAATAATGGGAGTTTTGTATTAAAAAGTTGTTGAATGCTACCACAGATATAACATGTCCCTAGACGGTGTCAGTTGCCTCACATTGTGCACATACTTCTTCTACATGTTCCGCATCATACCGTCAATGCTTCACACTGATTGTGGCTCCAGTGAAACAAATTGCAGCGCAAATGTCAGTATATTATTATGTCTCACACAATTCCGAGAACCTATCAATGCTAAAATAGCACATAACTATCATCAAATGAAGTCAGATTGTATTGTTTTGAAAATTATACTATAGCAATGTGAAAAATATAGGAAAATATCAGAAGATTAAAGATAGAGTTAAATCCAAATATTTGGATAAATCCTTGGATATTTAGGGTGGTGATCAGGCCTTCATTCGTATTTAAAAACCCTTGGTATTCATTTTTTTACAGACTATTGAAATGTGATGTTTTATAAAACCAAGTTTAGAATTAGCTTATGAATATTAGGGTTCAGTTAAGAAGACAATTTATGCTAATTTATTGCAGAACGTAATACATATGATTAAACAGATAATGCAGACTTTTGAGTACAAAAATATAATACTGAGACAACATAATGTAATGGTTATCACCTAGGGCTGACTGATAATAGGAGGGGTTATCAGAACCGAAGTAGCTTGCACAGTTGGTATTATGAGTGGTCTGATGAAACTAGTTCTGGTTTCGGGAAGATGCCTGAGAGCTAGGAACTGCAATCAAATGTCAGTGCTTAGGTGAAAATTTTCAAGCTGCTATTTTGGTCCAGTGCCAACAAAATTTCTATATTCTGTTTTGCATTTTTTTAGTCTTCCTATTTACATGGTTTAGTGAGAAACCAGCTTACTAAATAGAATGTAATTTGCATACTCCCAAAGTTAGTGTAACTACGAAGAAGGTCTTGTTTCACTGGCACTCAAGAGTTGGTCATTCATTAGAGAGATCAGGTGGAGCAAGAGCTTTAAGAAGTAATGTCCACATTACAAGGTGACAGAATCACATCTGAGAGAACCATTTTGACTTCATGTCACAGAATGCAGCTTACATGGGAAAATAGGAAAATGTTTTTAGAAATGGCAAATTGAAGACCAGTTGATGTGGGGGGAGATCATATTTTCTTTTGGGTGGGTCTTCTGAGGCATAAGGGATCAGAGTACATGTTATCTTTCTCGTACAGACTTTTGAAGGAAAGATAAGATACAGGAAATATTTCTTACATTCTCTTTGTTTTGGGCCACCCCTGGCATTGTTCAAGGCTCTGGTTCTCATCCTGCTAGACTTGGGGTACCATACGGGTAGTGGTATCTGGGGGGGGGATTCAAGGGCTGGCATCATGCAAGGCAAGTGCCCTACTTGCTCTCCAGCCCCATTTTTAAAAATATTCTTAAGAGTTTATAGTCTCAGCATGGAAGAGTTGACCACTAAGTGTTAACCAATGTTCTTTGTGCTAAGAGATTTAGCTTAATGGCCAGAGAGATAATAGGCTGGATCTATGCTTTTTATGCAGGAAGCCTGGTTTCTGGCACTAGTTGTGCCACTGTCAGTTATGCCACAAAACAAAAGAGGCATGGTCACCATAGTTTCTACTGCCGTGTGGGTTATTCTGTGACAGTTCTGGTGGTTATAGTCATAGGCTTTTACCAATTTATAACTGGTTTACTGTGATGCCGTTCAAACCACTTACTTGTGGTAGATAGTTGTGACAGAATTTAAGTGGTGGTAGAAATGAGAGCTTATGTAGTGCTTCTCTATAAAGTCAAGATGTTAACGTATTAATCTGCTTCATTTGACAGTTTATGGGGGGCTGCCATTATTGTTGAAGGTTTTAATAGACAAAGGTCTCATTCAAGATACAGGCATATGCAAATATTTATCTTTTATCACCTTTTGTTTCATTACGTTGTCTCATGTATGCTTTTACATTCTGATATTGCCTCAGTTGATTAAATAGTATTGACATTTCTAATTGTTGAAAATGTGTTTTTAAGCCTTATGATGCTGCAGATGACTGGTCTGAGCATATTAGCTCTTCTGGGAAAAAATACTACTACAATTGTCGAACAGAAGTTTCACAATGGGAAAAGCCAAAAGAGTGGCTTGAAAGGTATTTGCTCTTAATTTAGTAGTTCTCATTCTTGATTCTATAGGTTAACATTTTAGAACACGAAGCTTTCTGTACTGTATGCCTCTTGGTCATAGTCATAGTGATAGTTGTTACTCTTCATTGTAATTGCAGTGTTTGGCTCATTCTGATTTTCATAATTTCTCTTTAATGAAAATAAAAAGAACAAAAGAGGAGAGGGTTGTGGAGATAACTCAGTAGGCTGACCACATACTTTGTGCAGGGAGGCCCAGGGTTTTGGTCAGGCCCCCAGAGCACCACCGGCTGTGACCCAGCCCTTAATGAGAAAATACTCGGCCAGATAAGCAGTTGTGCATAGGAACTTTTGAGCAATTGGTATGTTGATTTTAAACATTTCATATTAATACACATTCCATTTGTGTATCTTTTACATAATTGTAATCTTTGTCATTTGTATATGTGTTTTAATGCACGAATATACATAATACAGTCCATTCAAGGTAAATGCAGATGGTCATGTTCAGGCTCCTTCCAATGTGTTATATTCTGTTGAATATGTGATCAGGAGTAGTATATGTGACTCACTGTACTTGATGCAGTTTTTATGAATGTATCAATTTTTTTTGTTGTTCTTAGAGAACAGAGACAAAAAGAAGCAAACAAGATGGCAGTTAATAGCTTTCCAAAAGATAGGGATTACAGAAGAGAGGTGATGCAAGCAACAGCCACTAGTGGGTTTGCCAGTGGAAGTAAGTACTAATGTTTTCTTGAAATGATATGTTTAATTTTATTTCTATAGGTTATTTATTTGTAAGTCTGCGTGCAGCTATTTTTATGTGTAAACTAAAATAATGGAAACACGGGATTTCGATTTTGTTAAGTTAGCCTGCTATCCACAACCATTTTGTTTCCAAAAAGGGTAAAAGAGCACATTGTGAAATAATGTACACAAGTGCTAATGTACTATAGTTCATATTATGCAGCTTAGTTGGTAAATTTAATTTCATGTTTTGGATTGACTTTTTAAGATAGTTTCTGCCTCAAACCTCTTGTGTTCTATTAAACTGAACACTAAAAACTTCTAAAACTCACTGGCTTTGGTCTGACAATGAATCATACCCATGGTTGTTACATCAAAGTGCTTAGTGGTATTTTGTGTTTTTAGTGGGAAACTTGTTTATCCTCATGTTTGGAAATTTATTTCTCTAAACATATATCTGTATAATGTCTCCGTATTAAATTTCCACTGAATTGTAAAGTGCCTGCTGGGAAATGTCTCCATTTGTTTTAGGTGGTCTTCATCTGTACATTGAACTGTGAGCATAATTTGATGGTCTCTTGGTGCCAGATTTAGTTCAAATGAGGTTCTATAAATTGCTTGCTTTTCATTTTTAAAATAGATTTCAGTCTGAAGCTTTTACTAAAGAGTTTATACTCTCATTAGTTTCCCTTGTCTCAAATAAAATTTAAATGCCCCTTCGAGTTCTGAGACGAATTTTAAACTGTATTTTGGGAAGTCCTTGACTTAATGTTTGGATACTCTCTAACTCAAAACAGAAAGCTAGTTCTTATGAGAGGAAGTTGATGATTTTTATTTTAAGTTGGAAAGAATTAAAAGGAAATAGATTGTATCATATTGCAAAACTAAATTAGAATGTTCTTTGGAAGATTTAACTTTCATACTAGTGAAATTATACTTAGGAAATAATAACCTTTAAATTACTGAAATTCAGGGTATTACATTTTGAGGCAAAAGACTTAGGGTTCCAGTTCTCTTGTACTTTCTTTAAGTTTGTACACAGTTTAAAGTAACTGTGAACTTGAGCAACCAAATAAAATTAGGGTGAAAGTTTTCCTTTAGAGCTTGCGCGTCATCCGATAAAGTAGGGGGTGGGATGGATATAGAGGAATGGCAAATAGGCGGAAAAAACACCATTTAAAAAATGTTTGGGTCAGACATGTCTATTTATAGTGGTTTATAATTCCCAGGGAGAGAGAAAAGATAAGTGCCTAACATATCTACATGTTCTTCCCTAAATTACCGGTTCAGTTTTTAGTAGTAAATGGAGGAGTAGAGTTGTTAAAGGAATTTGATAAAAGTTAAATCATGTAATTTAGTTTTAAACTATTTATTATGATTTTGATAGTAAGGTGCTATTGACATAATCAGAATGGGAAATAACAATCTTGGCACGCAGGTACATTTAGGGCATGTAATGTTTTCTTGCTATCTGTATCACATAGAAAAATGGCATGTATTCATTTTATAACAAAAATTGGGAATATATGTTGCTGATTTGAACATTTTGTTCAGTAATATGTAAAAGACACTTGTGTCTTTTTATTCATTATTTATTGACTATATATGCAGTATTTTGTACTTCAGGTGTGACCTGAGTTGTAAACCACCATATCCATAGGTCCTTTGTGTGTTTTTCAGTCTTTCCTTACTATAAACAGCCCTTTGATGTTGGTCTGTATCCACTGTTTGATTACTTCTTTATGCTCAATTCTTTGTTTTATTCCTTCTCACACTCCCATTCATTGTTGCTGTTGAAGATGATGGTGTTGAGAGCATGAGGGAGTCACATACCTTCCCGAATGGTGCTACACACATTTGCAGGAGGAGGGGTGGAGTTTCCTCCTTGCAATTTTTAGGTTTACCAGACCAGCAGTTTAATGTGAAGTTTACCCATACCATGGTGCTCCAGGACCTCCAGGGGTACTCAGTGGTTCTCAGGGCACTGTTGTGCCTAGAATCAGACTGGTTCAGCCACTTGAACACCATCTACCTTAACTCCTCCCTATACTTTATTGTAGCTCTACACATATTTGGGGTAACATTTGAGATAACATTTGCTAGTTATGCTGCTTTTGGACGTGCGGAGGTGGGTTGGGCCACAGTGGTGGTGCTCGGCTCATTTTTGGGTCTGCGTTCAGGGATCACTCCTGGCAGGGCTCAGGGCACTTTGGGGATGTGGTGATCGAATCCGGGTCATCCATATGCAAGGCAAGTGCCCTACCTGTCTCTCCTACCTCTGCTCTATTGCTTTTTTAATATGGCTAACTAAATCATACTTGATGCATGGTTATAAAGTCACTAAATCATTTAAAATTTTACTATTGTTTACTCAAAAATAAGTTGTATAGCTTCCCCATATTTTAAGTAGTTGCATGTTCATGTACAACTGCCAATAGAAGGTAATGAATGGTGGAGGAAAGCTGAGAGGATTTATAGAATACAGGTCAAAGAAATAACACAAAGCTAATTTTATTTTTTAAGAGATTACCATGCCTTGATATTTTTTCCAGGTCAGTTTTTGTGGGATTGCTATACTGGGTTATAAGATATGGAGGACCAGTACCGTTCCTGGCCTCTTCATACTTAGGCCACTAGCACTTTTACACTCTATTGTTGGTCTCTAGTTATTTGCTTGGGCTGGAGCGATAGCACAGCGGGCGGGTAAGGCGTTTGCCTTGCATGCAGCCAACATGGCCAACCCGAGTTTGATTCCTCCGTCCCTCTCGGAGAACCCGGCAAGCTACCGAGAGTATCTCGCCCGCACGGCAAAGCCTGGCAAGCTCCCCGTATTCGATATGCCAAACACAGTAACAACAAAGTCTCACGATGGAGACGTTACTGGATCTGCTCGAGAAGATCGATGAACAATGGGAGGACAGTGACAGTTATTTGCTTAAATGTCCATCTTATAGGCGTATACAAAGAGAATAGTGCTTGAACTGTATTGTCTAGAGTTGTGAATAACTGAATGCTGTTATAGCTGCAGGTTTCTCAATTCCTGCGGTGCGGCTGGCAATTTTTTGTTGATGCCTAGAAATTTGGAATTGTCTTTTTAACTTGTATCTGAATATATTTTGCATATAGTAGAAACCAAGCAGAAAGGAAATTTTCTTGTTACAGGTGATTAAAATTCTAGATAATGATCCTGACAGATTGGGTGGGAATGGAAAATAGAATTATTTTGTTAGAACTGTCCATTTAAGGTTTTTATCTTAATAGTTTTTTTTTTCAGAAATTAGAATAAAGTATGTTCTAATTAGATTAAGTATTCATGCAGATTGTTACTTTACTTGTGAGTTAATATCATGCAACAGGTTATTATACTGTAATAGCTCTGTTTGTTCATTTTTCTCATGGGCTGTTTATAGTGCTCCGCTTTATGAAGTTAAGTCAAAAGACCTTGTGTTTTGTTGCAGTTAAAGTTGGCGGTACCATGTATTTCTCATTTTGATGTAACTTGTAAGAGTTGTGTACTTGTCTGGACTAGAGGAATCATGAATTGGGTAGGGTAGGCACAATGCTGTTTAACAGGGAGGTCTTCCCTTGAAATGCCATGTATCAACAGTGCTTGAAGCTTAGATATTTCTCTTTTGAAAGTTGCTTTAGCTCTTTAATTCACTGGACTGTTGGAATAGCTTTATTACAGGCTTTGGGGTCTATTTGGTGAACTGGTGATGTCAACTTTTCATAATGCTTTTGTTGAAAACATGGTGATAGAGTTTAAACTGTTTTCAGCACTTCTGAGTTTAAGTATTTTTGTGGTTTTAAATTTGAAACGAATTGATTTTTCTATGTAACTGGTAATGGCACATAATAAATTTTTCTGTGACAGAGGATTTCTGTTTTCAGATACCATTATCTCCATCTTGATTTTGTAGCTGACTGGTATCTGCAAGTTGATTTACTTGATGCAGTTCATCATAAATCCAATCATTCTAAAGCAAGCTCTTTTAGGCCTTGGTACAAAGTACTTTAGAGCCCACCAGTTATTTATGTATTCAGAAAAAAACTGCCTAATAAGTTCCTTTACAAATTGAACCACTATGGATGATTTTAATTACTAGAATGTATTATCCATATTTTAAAGGAAAAAATTTTAAATATTTTAAAAATATTTCAAAACTTTTTTTCTTCTTTTTGGTCTGAACTATGATGTGTTTCTAGAGTCCCCAAACAGCCCCCTTGAAATCTTAAGTTTAGTTTCAAATTTGTAGTTGAGCTAGAACTTTTCTAGTACTTGGATTTTATATAGTGGTAAAACTGCTGACACTAACTGGGTTCGCAGTTTTTTCTTTTGTTTTGTTTTGTTTTTTTTTTTTTAAAGATATAAGTACAAGTATGTTGCTAAATTAGGTGATGTTAAAGACAGGATTCTAACGTAATCTTTTTTCTTCCCCCTTCCATCATTCCAACTTCTTTTTTCGAACTGTGAACTAAAGTGGAAGACAAGCATTCCAGTGATGCCAGTAGTTTGCTCCCACAGAATATTTTGTCTCAAACAAGCAGACACAATGACAGAGACTACAGACTGCCAAGAGCAGAGACTCACAGTAGTTCTACGCCAGTACAGCACCCCATCAAACCAGTGGTTCATCCAACTGCTACCCCAAGCACTGTTCCTTCTAGTCCATTTACGCTACAGTCTGATCACCAGCCAAAGAAATCATTTGATGCTAATGGAGCATCTACTTTATCAAAACTGCCTACACCCACATCTTCTGTCCCTGCACAGAAAACAGAAAGAAAAGGTATGCCATTATTACTAGATGCTGCACGTTGAACTATAGTTTGAGAGTTTCTTATTATATTACATTATTTCCTTTAGCTTAAGTAATACCTAAGTTATAAGTTCATTTTCAAGGTCTTTTAGAGTGTTACAAAATAGATTGAGGTGTAGCATTAGTCATATTTAGGTTTTATTTATTTACTTATTTTTTTATTTTTATAAAATCTCAACTTTTTTTTTTTGCCTTTGACACTTTGAGGTCAGGTTAAGTAATTATGAATAGAGATACTTAAAACTTGTCATTTGTACATAATTTGCAACTATGGTTTTTATTTGTGGACTAGAAAACCCAAGTCATGGGTTTAACTTAAGTCTGAAGAGTAGAAATTAAATTATGCATCCCAAATGTGCTCAGTGTCAGTAACAGCATCATGTTCTAAAGTAATTATTTGACTTTGACATAGTGTAAGAAGGGATGAATAAGTGTTTTTGCCTAGGTCAGTCTCAATCCCAAGCTTGTTCGTTCAAGGGACCAAGGGTATTACTGGTCAGTAAGTAAGCAAAGGATAGGTAGAGTCAGTAGACCGTCAGAAGCATTAGTAATCGGGGATGTGGGGCACACACCCAACTGTGAGGGCTTACTCCTGACATTGTGCTCCAGGATCACTCCTCGTGGTGTTTGGGATGTATGTGATGCTAGGAAAGTGAACCAGGCTCGGGCAACATTCAATGCAAAGACTTAACCCCTTTATTATCTCTCCAGCCAAACATCAGTTATTAAGGAACTTGTATATGCTATGTCCTGAGGGATTAGTTGGTGTGGATTCATCTTCATGCTCAATCTGTTGTCCAGTTACTTTGCACTGGCTCATGAATGCTAAGTACTCCTGAATACTAGGGCTCTGCGGAGGCTGCTCCTGGCAGTACTTAGCCAATTGGGCAACGAGCCTGGTGATGCAGTGGTGTAGAGGCCCACCAGGGCTACTCCCAGCAATGCTCAAGGAGCCATGTGGTGCTAAGTATCCAACTCAGGTCCTGGCCCTTGTAAGACCCCAGTCCTCTTACTAGTCCACGCTTTGATTTAATTTGTTGACAAATTTTATTCCTAGTTTCCTTTAATGAATGCTACTTAAATTTCTTTTGTGGCTCTTACTATACACTACTAAACTACATAGTTCCATAAGGCATTAAACATGTTGTTCCAAGTGTCAGATTCTCTTGAGATGGTTTATACATAGAAGTCATATTTACCCTGATAGAATTAAACTTAAAAAAGCTAAAGAGGTGAAATCTGAATTAATACTGTAACATCATAGTACTTTACAAAGGATGTTAATAAGGGTTTTTCAGTTCAGCTTGATGTTTTAATCACTGAACAATATAAGACTTTGTAGTTTATCTTTTGGTGTTTTTTGGTTTTAAATTTCTCTTAAAGGTTTTTCTCTGCGCTTGCTTTGGCAGCACATCTACTAAAAGCTTTTTCTCCCCTAGATTATTTCTTAGTCCTATCAGGCTCCCTTTTATAAGTTCCTGGTATTTGTTCCATTTCCTTGCTATGATGTGTCCCAGATTTCTCCCTTTCTTCATGTTAGTCTCTCAGTGACAACACTATTCCCCAAAAGTTTCCTTGCTTTTCATTCCTGTGTTACTTAACTTTACATGTTATGTTGACAAATCATGAACTATTCAACATCATTCTATGTCTGTTTTCTTTCTCATTGCTACTGCCATTTTTGAAACTGAGGTGCTTTTTAAACTTTTAAAGTCTTTATTAAACCTAAGGCCTCACACATGCACGCATGACATGTGCCCCATCTCTGAGAACCAGTCTTCTCTCCAGATGATCTCTGTTTCAGTGTGTTTCTGATTACTGCCATTTCCTTCTATTTGTCCACTCATGTATGGCGGCATCATTATACGATTTAGATTTGTAAAGTGTCACTTCTGTTGATGAAGGGCAGAGAGAGCTACTGTGGAGGTTAAGTTACAGCAGCCGTGGCAATAGTTCAAATCCTGGCATTACTTAGCCGAGTAGTGTGAGGTGCACCCTACTGCCTCCCAACTCCCCCCCCCCCCAAAAAAAATTCTGATGGTTCCAAAAAGATAAAGTTGGCACATCTTAGTAAGATCATAGCAAATACTTGACACTGAACACCACATTCTACTTTTATGTTTTCCATAATTCCTTTATTAAAAGAGCTAGTTCTGGTATCCTTGAAGATGTCCAGTAACATCTCCTAGTCTGGTTCATGAGCACCATTCTTTATGTGCCAGATTTAATGAGTTTCCTTACATATTTGAGTTTACTCTTGTTTTAGAGCCATACCCGTGATGTCGGGGGCTAAACCGTTTCATGCTGTGGGTTGCTCCATGGTGCTAGGAAGGGGCAGGGGACACACTCTGCAGTTGAAATCTGGCAGCCTATATGCAAAGCATATGCTTCAGCTCATTGCCCTCTCTCTCCAGCCTTTATTTTTTAAAGCACATTGTAAAGGAAATTACTCTTTTGTATGTGAACCTGGACCTTGTTTTCAACTCCATGGGTCTTTGAGGCTGGTTTTCCAAAATCTGTTTTCTCCATAAATACTGTACACACCTCAGCTTTGCTGGATGTAGCCCATGGGTGTAGCTCTGGTGACCGCACTACTGTATCTCTGGCTCAGTTGACTTGCTGGGAAGAAAAAAACTACATAAAGATCTGTATTTCTTTGAATTTTGGCATTAAAATTTTCTGACAGATCATCATGATTCAGGTTTAAAGTATCTTTGTTGATCACAAGCTATATGTAAAAAAATTTTACATATAATACAAATTTATTTTTATTTTCACTTGGATAATTGGTTCACATTGTGCGCAGATTAGAAATCGGGGCTCCAGGCAAAACATGGGCACTAGCCCTGGCCCTTGTCTTTTAATTAGTTTTGGTTTATGGGCCATACCTGTTGGTGCTCAGGGACCACTCACTGCAGGCTGGGAAATAGTAAGGACTTTGAAGCAAACTTGGCTGATTGCAACAAGGCAGTCACACTTCCCACTGTAGTATTACTGCAGCCTCTTGTCTGTTAATGTAAGAAATACTACACTAACATCCTATTTACAAAGTGCCTATTGTATAGCCACATTCTGTCTAAAATATAAAAACTCAGATGGCTATATTAGCCACTGATAACATTCCTAGTGATTGACAATATCAGTGGATTTTTTTAAAGTAATTCTAAGTAATTGAAAGAATAATGATAATGAAGACATCTGCATCAACTATCACAGTTAAAAATACTTGTTTAGAGAAAAAGAAAATTTATATGCTGTGCGTATAATGAAAGCCTTCCAACAAGAAGTTTCAGTCTACTTAATGCTACTTCATCTTTTAAGAAAAAGAACTTAAGGGAAAAGCAGCAAAGTTCTTTAGTTTTGTAGAGAACAATTCAGTTGTTAGTAATACAAAAGAAGGTAGTCAGGCACCCCCTTTTAGGGGAATATTTGAACACCTGTTGGCAGGAATAATTGAGAAGCTGTGTATGAAAAGGTGAGAAACTTGACGTGCTCAAAAAAAGCACCCTACTGGGTAGGGTGCTTGCCTTGCATTGGCCGACCCAAGTTCAGTGCTAGACAATCCAAGATGGTCCCCCAAGCCCCACCAGGAGTAAAGCCCTTAGCACAGCAAGTGTGACCCTGAAACCAGATTAAAAATTTTTTCACTGGTTGGCAATCCTTTGACCATTCTTACTCCCAAACCTCATCCTCCCTTCCAGATTTGTATTAACAAAATAAACCACAAGACTTGAGTCTTTATTGTTTTAGCCAAATAAGTGCAAGTCAAAAGTGTAATGACCTTAATCAACATGTTCGGTTATTTTGGGTCTTGCCTCCCCCACCCCCTTCCCTTTGGACTCTCTGGTAGTGGTTCATGCCGGGTAGTGCCTGGAGGTGCTATTCCAAGCTCTTTGATTACTCCTGGTGGTACTTGGGGAGCTTGTGGTGTTGGAAATAGAACTAGACCCTTTATACTTAAAGTATGCATATCAGCTCCAGGAGTTTCTAAGTAACTTCGGATTTATTAGCATAGATAAATTTGAAAACTAGATTAATAGTACACACAGAAGAAATCTTAATAGTGACTTCCCAAGATAGTGCTCAGATCACCATGTCTGAATAGTCACAGTCACATTGCTAGTTCCAGAGTCTTAATTTAATCAGTTATTGTTTGTGTATTAAGTATTCTTCATTTAGTGATTTGATCAATATTTGTACACAGTGAAATTCAAAGTAATATCAAGACATTTTCAGCTGGGTTATAACAGATTTTAAGCTCTAGGAAGCTCTAGATAGTGGTCTGCATTCATTGTTCTTTTGTTGTGAAATAATTTTTAGAAGTACTAATCATTTTTGAAAAACTAGCCATAGATATAAAGTTAATGTCATATAACTACTGTGAAAATACATTAGTGGGGGGATTTTATCTGTTAGTAAAGTCAACATACTGAGCTTAGCTGAAAGAGAATAATTAATCAACAAGGCAAAGAAAATAACGAAAAGAATATATATCTTGAGGGGTAGGAAAGCATTTATATCAAAATAAATGCATGTTTATAGCTTATGGGAGACCCTCAGTCAGGTGCCTAAATTGCATTCTCTCTTCCCCCTAAGCAGTGCCAGGTGTGGCCCAGGTGGCCCCGCAGTATTACTGGGTGTGGACCCTATGAACAAAAGCCAAAAACAAATGGGTGGTTTAGGTCAGTAAATTTCGCTACATTAAAAAGACATTCTTGGGGCCAGAGAGATAGTACAGCAGGGTAAGAGCATTTGCTTTGCAAAACCACAATGAATGAACCATTTAACATCCATACTGGCATGCTTCGAAAACAACAGAAAATAACGTGGTTTTGAGGGTGTGGAAGAATTGGAACGCTTGTTGTACTGCTGTTATGGAATGTAAAATCATGTTGTTACTGTGCAAAACTGTTTGGCAGCACCTCAGAAAGTATAACAAAATTACCACAGAACCCAGCAATTCCTTACCT